GGGGGGGATAATAAATACCTGATTTGATTGGAGGAAGGGGGAGAAAAAATAAAAAAAAAAATAAAAAAAAATAGAAGAACAATTTTCGAAGTACCCTATCTCTCACTTTTCCTCCTTCTAACATCCCACCCTGTCCCCATCCCCTCTTTTTCTCACAATTTCTTTTTCTTCAAAGATGGTTGCCTTGATTTTGTTAATTCAAACGCGACAATACTACTCTTCTTTCTCTCGTTTTCTCTCACACTTTTCTTTTCCTCTTTGTTTTTTTTTTTTTTTCTATTCATGTAATTTTATTTTCGAACATCAAGAAGACACGGACGATATTTTCTTTAATCAAAAGCGGAAGAAGAGCCGAGGGAGAACGTTCGTCGTTTGGCGTACCTTTGGAGGAAAAGGAGAAAAGAAGTAAAGGGGAAACAAGAAGGATAAGTTGAAAGAAGAAGGGTTGATAATGACGCGGAAGAGAAGGAGGAGGAGGAGGTGGAAGGAGGAGAAGGAACATTTAAGGGAGGATTTAGAAGAAAAGGAAGAACGTGTTACGCGTATACGACACACCTCGAGAGAACACACCTTGCTTTTTATTTGAACACTTAGGGTAGAGTTTTGGGACCCGGACCGCCGAGCAAGCATCTCCTTTTTTCTTTTTTCTCATTATCAATCGTTTCTCTTTCTCTCTTTTTATCTCACTCACTCTCTCTCTCTCTCTCTCTCTCTCTCTCTCTCTCTCCTTTTCTTCGATTTATCTCTCGTAATCAGTTGTATTATTTGTTCTTGTTCGTGTTTATATTCATTGTCTCAGAAATGATATATGCACAAACAAGAATTGGTAACTATAATAAACGTTCTTGGATCATTCTTTTCATTTGATCTGATTGATCAGTCGAACGATGGATAATCCACGGTCGTCGAAAAAAAAAAATCGGTTCGATCTGCGCCGAAGGAAAAGACGAGGACGATGGATGATATATTTATTATTGATTTAGAGCTCGTTCCAAATGAATTTACATACATTGTAATTGTCATTATCATCGTCGTTAACCCATCAGTATCATTATTCGTATGATCATCGTCAATTGAATTAATTTATTGTTGTTGTTGTTGTTTTTTTTTTAATTTTTTTTTTTTTTTAATTCTAAATCGGGACAAACGAGCTCCGTTTGACTATCTCTCTATTTCCCCCAATCGGAAATTATCTTTTCCATTCTTCATTTGGACGGCGGACAGAAGCGTCTCTCAACTCTATTTTATTTATTTAATTATTATTATTATTTTTGTTTGTTTGTTTGTTTGTTTGTTTATGTATCATTTATTTTTATGTATTTTTTCTTTGTGTATGGTGAGTGTGCGCGCCCGTATCTATGTGTAGTATGGTTTTTTTTTTTTTTTTTAATAATCCGTACCATCATTCTCGAAGCACGACATCCCACAAAAGATGAAAGGGAATCGTATTTAATTATTACTTTTTGTGTTTTGTTTTAAATATCCATCGGTGTTTTCTTTTTTTTTTTTTTTAAGTTTCTTCTAACACGTGTTGTGTTGTTTTTTTTATGCTCTGGCATGTATACATTTATATATCTGTGCGTGTGATTCGCGTTTGTCAATAATATTTCAAGGGCCAGAGGGAGGACACGTTTTAATTTCTTTCTTTCTTTCTTTGATTTATTTTTTTCTTTTTTTTAAAGTTAGGTTTAACGATCAGACACGAAAGACACCCCGGAAGAGAAAGCTCGTTCGACGCGATTTCGATTTCGATTACGATTTCAATTTCAATTTCTAATTATTGATATTATATTTAATCTAGCACGCGTGTGTGTGTCTCGGCTCGTCCCGGCCCAAAAAAGTCGCGTGGCAGGTATTTTTTTAAGTCACCTTCGTTCTAAAGAAGGGGGCGTTGTTATTACGACGTTGTTTTTTTTTTCTCCGTTATTATTGGTTGCAATTGTTTGTTACTGTTACTTTTCTTTTCTTTTTTTCTTACTTTATTTTTTTTTTACTTTTTTTTTTATTATTTTTGTAGTAGGTACTTGTCGATTTCTCGACATTGTTATAATTTCTTTTTTTTCTTTTTTATATATTTTTTTTTTCATTCTTTTTTAATTGTCATTTTTTTCTTTTTCTTTTTCTTCTTCTTTTTCTTCTTTTTCTTGTTTTAATCATTTTGTGATTTAAACACTTACGTACCGCATACACGCACGCACACACGCAAGCAAAGTTATTCATTCATACACATAAAACACATGACATGCACGCACGCATATACTTTTCTGAAACATTCGGCATTCACACGCAATATTCTTATTTTTATTTTTTTATTCTTTTTTTTTTTATTTTTTTTT